TTCATTCCCACATGATTATGTCTTCATTCAGTATTTTGTTGATTTCATCTCCAAACATTTATAGTTTTTAGTTTTATCAAATTGATTAACAAAAAACCAATAATTAAAAATACATACATAAAAAATTCTCTCGGTTCGGTTTTTCAATCCTAAAAGAAACAAGAAAATGATTTGGTAGCCAACACATGAGTATGTTCACTGTATTGCATGGGGATCACGATATTGCATATAAATTGTTCACATAATCCCCCACGCAAACTGTAATCACTGAGATGAAAATATTCACCGAAATAAAAGCGCCGAGAGATTAGACTATATAGATTACAGGTGTAAGGTAAGTGGGTGTAGAAAGCAATTTTTGATAAACTATTTGCACACGTCGCTTGGCGCGGGTAAACGTCTACTATATATATATAATATATATTATATATATATATATATATATATATATATATATAGTATGCTTTGAAATCTAATTCGGTCAATAATGCACGCACAATCATCTGTTGATGTATATTTGTAAAGATTCAAAGACAGGGAAGTCTATATATCAAAAGTGGTGTATAAAAAAGTGTTGCACGATTAATAAGCACACACAATCATCTATTGATGTATATTTGTAAAGATTCCCAACTTTTCATTTTTAATTCTTATTTATTTCGTTTCTACTAGCATAACTCTTATTGATAATTATTTAGATGTAGTAAACTATTTGCCCAAAAAAACTAATCATCTCTAGAAACTAATTTCTGAAAAACTATTCGCACCCGTCGTTTGGCGCGGGTAAACGGCTAGTGTGTGTGTATATATATATATATATATATATATAATATATTATATATATATATTACTTTATAAAGTATATAGAATAGGAAGTTTAAAAGTTTTAAGACCAAAGTCTTAAAACTAAGGAGCTTGAATCTTGATCTTTAATTTTACATAAAATACATCTAATGGTATAAAATGATGATCTATGTGAACTGACTAATCAAAATGAAGCAAAGCCACTCCATAAAACCCTAAGCTCAATTTCGATTTTCATCGGCCGCCACTTTTTTCTCTCATAGTTTATCCGTGTATTCCTCTCCACCCTAATCATAAACATAAAACCACCAGCGCCCTCAACGATTTTTTTAAAAATCGACACCCACCTTTGATGTTACCTTTGTTATGTACCTCTTCGACCACAAACTGCTGTTGTACAACTCTTTAATGCTTTGAGAAACTTTGGCAATGTATGGTCCTTCTTATTTGTTGTCGAAAGAATCACCTTGATACATTGTTTGCTTCTCTGATGTATGTCTTTGGGTTCTCCAGTCCAATGTGTCCCGACCCTTCATTTTCCTTAACGCCTTGTTCCCGAGTTCCACTTAAGGAGAGAAATGGGAGGATACGGAGGGAAAGTGAGGGGTGTCGAAGGAAAATCGTGTTTCCGAGTTTCATTAATGGAAGGAAAGTGAGGGGAGGGGAAGGATTTTAGAGTCATATTTTCCTTCCAAATTTTCCTCCCAAATTGGACGGATTTGGGAAGAAAGTGAGGGGAAGGAAAATTTTTAGTTTTATTTTCTTTTTCCTCCTAACTCGGGAACACAAAAACTTAAAATTTTCCTTTCATTTCTTTTCATTTCCTTCGAACTCGGGAACACGGAATAATGAATATTTTCCTTCACCTCCCTTTCTTTCCGTCAAAATTTTTCTTCTCTTTCCCTTAATGAATTTACAAAAAAACTCAACAAGGCGTAAGTTTAAAAGAATCCATGCCCGCCTCCTATGCTTTTATCCCCTTCAATTTTCCGTCTCTCGATCTATATCCTACTTCGATCACCATCGCCACCACCATACCTCCAACAGAACATCATTGATTTATAGGACCACCATCGCACGACAGGGCCATTATTGCGTTACCATGATCTACCGACCTCCCTCTACATCATTTTATTCTGGGATTTGTTGTATTTCTCAAGTATGTTCATCGAGTTTTTTGCCTTTGGTTATTTTCTAGGTATACAAACCTTAGATTTGGTATTTCTTTTTCCAGGTTTCATACAATCTATCAATTTTTCTTATGGGTCAGTGGAACACGCACCCCAGATGTTTGACAAAATGTCTCATATAAAGTTAAGTTTTCAACTCTTACCTCTCAATCTTCCATTTCCTTTTCTATCAACTGTCAAATATTTTTGTTATACTTTTATTTGAAATCTTTTTTACTAGATACATTATTATGGAGGTGCAACGTTTCCGATTTTGTTTGTTATTTGTTTTATTGTCACCATTGACATGCCTATTAACATTTCTTTCTTGTCAGATACATCTAGAAGATGGCGTAAGAGGCAAATGAACAAATATTGATAACATGTTGTGGTTGACTTGCGACATTGTTGGAAGGATTTCATTTTTAAGAGAAAGCAATATGTACAAACTTTATTTGAGAATGCTAAGCAGGACATTGTAATTTTATGATTAGGTTTTTTAAGGAATAATTTACATTGGAAGTTCCTTTTGTTTGTTTGAAGATTTCCCATCTTTATGTGCTAAAAGAAAATTATTTTTTATCCTAATATTATCTTTGAAAATATTTTCATGAAGAACAATTCATTAAACAATATTATCAGTATTTTTGAAAGTTATAAAAAAATAAAAGGAAGTTGTTTCAAATAAGTGATTTGGTTTGGAACTTCACTTGAAGATCACTTTATCCATTTCGCATACTTTATTCTCACAAGGCATATTTGTTTTTGATGGTTTTGCAGGCATCCTGAATATTTTTAATGTTTGGGAAAGATTTGTTGAATCAAAGCTAAAAAGCTCAAACTTGTAAAGATAGAGTCAAGAATTAGCGATCAAGTCTAACTAAAGATGCTATTGAGCGACTAGAACTTCAAAAAAGTGTACATGGTCGAATTTGTAATAGTTTTTTTACCTTTTGCAATAATATATTCTGATTTTTTTAATTTGCTATATCAAGATCTTAATCTAGCATTAAGATTTATATTTGACTACAATATGGTGTAATCTAATATATTTAGCTACGATGTAGTATAATTTGCATATGACTCAAAAATTACAATTTTAATATCAATATACTTTTGAACAATGATTTTGTAATTTTTATCGTCTATTACTACAAAGTAAGGTCTTCAGGTTTATAACAAAATCTAAAATAACAGTTTTATAGCATTATACTTTCAAAAAGTAGTTTTCCATTATATTTTCAGATTTGTCGCCTATTTTAATGTCATATATTGCATCTTATATTCATTTTAACATCATTTATTGCAATTTGCTCACCTTTTATAGTCATTTATTTCTTTTAGATCGGATCGAAGAAGCAAAATCACCTCTATAACATTTATAGTAATTTACTTCTTTTTAATGTCATTTTTATGGAATTTTCTTTCATTTAAATGTCATTTATTTATTTTGTAGCATTCTACTGACATATATGAATGTTATGACAGTCATTATTTAACATCTACTTTCAATTGTATATTGTTACGAAAATTTTTAAACATTATTGAGTGATCAAGTGCATTAAATACATTAAATGGCAATTTACTTTCATTTCTTTGCCCAATATAGCATGTTAAATTTATTTCTTTTTTGGAAACTTTATTTTAATTATTTTCGTATTAAACCATTTTACTTTGAAAGTTATATCCAAAAACGTCAAAAAATTCAAAAGTGAGATGTTATTTATAAATTCATCTGTTATTTAACCAGGGGTATTTTTGTAATAGTCAACCTAAAGAATCACAATTGGGGTATTTTTATAATAGTCAACCTAAAGAATCGCAATTGCTATTAACTGAAATGACACCACACATACAATTATAACATTATACTTTTGAAGTAAGATTATATAATAAAAAATAAATGAAAGTACATTTCCATTTTTGTATTCATTTACATGTTTAATGACCAATTCCTTAAATTAATATGTTCTTTTTGGCACTTTTTCGAGATCGCATGAATTCATGATGATCAAAATAATACATTTTGATGGAATAGCAGAACTTTGACAACTTTCTCTTTTAGAATATGACGTGATATATAAAATATACTTGCATACAAACATTATTCATATACATATTTGAATGGAATTATGTTTTTGCTTACTATTATGTATTTTTTAATGTACTTCTTTTTGTATATCGAAAAACCGTCGAATGAAACTATATGGCGCTGCCGCATCGCGAGGGTAAGAAATGATGAATATTTAAATGGTTCAGTTTAGTTAATGGTCTAAAGATTCCTAAAGGAAAATGGATCAAAAGGGCTCCTCCTCCTTTTGGTATTTTGAAGTTGAACATAGATGGTTCTTCAAGGAATGGCATGGCAGCAGGTGGTGGCATTATTAGGGACTATAAGGGCTCCGCTTTGGTTGCTTTTTCTACCTTTTATGGCCCAGGTACCAACACATTTGCAGAAGCCAGAGTCTGATGCTTTGTTACAAATTAGGCTACTCCAAAATAGCAGTGGAGAGTGAGAAAAATCATTTTTGATAGCATCTGTGGAGGTGCAGTCCCTTGGACAATGGTTTGTTTTCCAAATAATATCCGAAACCGAACCATATTTATTCGGTTCACAAAAATTAGCAACCGCATCACCTATTTTAAGAATGGTTCATTTAAATAAGTGTTGTTTTGGTTTTTAGATTATTATACCGACCTATACAACAAGTCGAGACACATTTCATAAAAGGAAACTAATCTTCGAAAATAAACTATTTCTCGAAAAGAATTATACGTCGCCTGCTAAAAGTAGACTACTTGCAGCAAAGAAACTATTCCCGAAACACCATACCGAAAGAAAACTAATCGTTAAAAAATCTATTTTCTACCGCTGCATCGCGCGGGTATCCTGCTAGTGTGTGTGTATATATATATATATATATATATATATATATATATATATATATATTATATATATATATATATCTATATATAATGTTTTGAGTTTGCCCATGCATGCAGAAAATTTCATTAGTGGTTGGAAACATGTCTGAAAGAGTAAAAGGAGCAGCCATTGGCATTGATCTTGGAACGACCTACTCATGTGTAGGTGTCTGGGTTAACCAAAACAACCGGGTGGAGATAATTCCGAATGAACAAGGAAACAAGACCACTCCCTCTTTCATAGCCTTCACTGATACAGAGTTGTTGGTAGGCGAGGGTGCAAAAAACCAAATCGCTAGGAACCCTACCAACACTGTGTTTGGCAAGTCTTTTTTTTTTTTTTAATCAAAATTTCCCGTTTTTTTGTTTTCCTATAAAAATCATGTTGCTTAAAGTATTTGAAATATTAAGGAAAGTATATCTAAATTTCCAGATGTTAAGCGTCTGATTGGGAGCAGGTTCGGTGGGGCTTATATAGATATATAATATATATATATATATATATATATCTATATATATATATATATATATATATCTATATATATATATTATATATATATATATATGGAGAAGAACGTATTGGTGTTTGATTTTGATGTGTCTCTTTTGAAAGTTGGTAAAACAGGTGTGATTGATGTGAAAGCTGTTGGGGGAGACACTCATCTAGGTGGTGAGGATTTTGATAGGGCACTTGTTAATCACTGCATGATGGAATTTAATAAAAAACACAAGGTGGATGGCATGAACGGAAATCCTAGAGCCTTGGCCAGGTTGAAAGTTGCTTGTGAAAAAGCAAAGAGGGATTTGACCTCAACAACTTTAGCTTCAATCGAGATTGATTGCTTATATAAAGGCATTGACTTCTCCACTAAAATCAGCCGAGCGAAATTCGAGGAACTGAATTCAACTTTGTTCGACAAGTGCATTCAGCTGGTGGGTGACTGTTTGAGTGATGGGAAAATGCTAAAGACAGAAGTGGATGAGGTGGTGGTGGTTGGTGGATCAAGTAGGATTCCGAAGGTGCAACAAATGTTGGAGGAATATTTTAATGGGAAGACATGCACTTTGCAAGAGCATGAATGGGGATGAGGCTGTTGCATTTGGTGCTGCAATCTTGGCTGCAAAGTTAAGTGGGAATTATGATGATGATGTGAAACAGGAGCATGATACGGTGTTGCTGGATGTCACTCCTCTCTCACTAGGAATAGCAATTGATACACCCCCCTATAGAAAAAACGCAATGAGTTTTATTATTCCGAGGAACACGTCCATCACAAAAATATATCGTCGTTCACAAGTCAATATAACATCAGCACGTATTGGGGTGTATCAGGGTGAGAGCACCCAAGTTAAGGACAACATATTACTTGGGGAGTTCAACCTTTATGGCCTTACTCTAGGTCCCAATCAGACTTCCCAAATAGATGTTTGTTTCACTATAGATGTTAATGGAATCCTTCACGTCTCTGCAGAGGAAACATCCACAGGTAAGAGAAAAACCATTACAATCGTTAAGACCTGAAGTTCTTATCCCCTTACCCTTAATTAGTGGAAAAGAAGCACGTGTGTTTAAATTTTAAAATATGGTTTGCATTTTGCAAAAGATTATATGCTAGTAACCAGGTGGACTTGCTTTCAATCTATTTTTATTGTCAATTAAGCTTCATGACCTGTTGGTTTAGTGAAACATGAATATTTTTTGCTTGTTTTATCTACCCTCGCCCATGACGAGACTGTTAGGGTTAAGTACTTGTTTAGTGATATATTCTGACTTTCATACATAGGTTATTTTTTTTAAATTAACATATATTTATGTAGTGACACATTAGTTGATATTGAGACATAAAGTGTTTAAACACTACAGCCACGCTTTATGTTGATGAAGTGACTCTGAGATACACGTGTCGACATGCCGTTGTTGATTGATTCTCTCTAAGATTTTGGGAGAGTTTAATTGCAATGAAAGATTAAAAAAACCAAACCACTAAGATAAATAAAAGTTTACTAGCCTTGTTTCAATTACACATTCGTAAATTGTTTTGAAGAGGAATTAAAAATGTGAATAAGTGAAAGAAGTATCTAATTTCCGACCGATTAAACATTATACTTTTAGGAAATTTTCTTAATTAAGCTATCAAACGTCATAAATCAAACAGTTCTATCATGTAATTCTTGAATCAGGGCCGGTCCTAGACAATGTGAGGCCGGAGCAAAATAAAAATATTGAGCCCTTATAATTTTTTATTTTTTTTGGTAAAGGGGGCGCAGCACCTCAGAAAACTTTGAAAATTTTATTAATTAAGAAAAACCAACATATGGAAAAAAAAGCTTCGAAACAGACTGCTAATGCCAAACAACCAAGTAATTATTAATACAAACAACAAATAAAAAGGTCATCCTCGGAAGCCTAATACATAAACATAACAAAAAAAATAAAGATATTATCTACCTCATTTATTACAGTTTCATGTGTGGCATTATCTTGTAAATTAGAAGAATTTAATTTTTTTACAAACTTATTCTTAGATTCTTTTTAGCTTCATTAAATTGTTCATTTTTTCACTTCCAAACATATTTTCTAACAAATCAACAATCACATAGATTTACAAATCAACAAAAAAAGTGAATAGATACTATCTGCTTAGTCAGCTGTTCTCTTGTCATTTATATCCTCCGAGACCAAAACAGAAATGAGAAATCTGAAGTTTAGAAAATAGAGAAGTCAAATTAAACTAAATCATCTTTAAAATTTAGAAAATTCGAATTAATCAAAATAAAAAAAAATTGATTAACAAAAAGTGAAAAGAGAATACATGCTCAACTACTATCCTGGATGTTAATAATCCTCTGAGCTCAAATAAGAAATGAGAAATCTGATTATTTGAAGTTTAGATTAGAAAAAAGAGAAATCGAGTTAAACAAATTCATCATTAAAATTCAGAAAATTCGAATTAAGCAATGATTCATACAAATTTGAAATCAGTAAAATCTATTTCAATGGACAATGATTCATACAAAATCAAAATTAAAGATCGATTTTGCAGATTCTTAACAAAACAAGTTCATAGATTCAGAAATTCGACTCAGACCGTAACACAGACGATTGTGAAAAGATTGTTCTACTTCAAACTTCCAACTGAATACGATTCAGAAAGAAATTAATCCAACTGATGCACTTAATCTCGAGTCTCAACTAAAAAACATCTGATTCAGAAATAAAACGACAGCAGGTAACTTCCAATTGCTGGTATTTCAGAAAAATGAAATCATAAATAAGAAGAGAAAGAATCGAGTATTGCCTATTTGTCTTTGGACTTGGGCGAATTCAGAAAATCAGAAAAGAGGAGAAGAATCGATTATCTTCAGCTAGAAATAGAAGAAAGAGAATTAAACGTAAGGGCTTTAGCTTCGGGAGAGATGGTGTCGTTTGGATTTTCCATGGCCATGGAATCGAAAATTGAAGAGGCCGCATAGGATGTCGGAAACACGGCATGTCATTTGCTACTCCTAACTCCCCCGCTTCTTCATTTTGGTTTGCCGCCTATACTCTTTACAACATTGGGCCAAAACTAGTCCATAAGTCTTAAATTTAATGGGTTGTCATTAATATAACCCAATAACAAAGATAAAATGGGGGCCCTTTGGCATTTGGGGGCCCGGGGCGGTCGTCCAGCTTGCTCATACCCATGGGTCGGCCCTGTCTTGAATATCCATAACTTACAAACTAACATGCATATCTAACATATCATCAATACACAAAAACAAGTGTGGTATCTTGGGGAATAACTTTTCTTGGCTCCGGCTGATTGTAAAAATCAATCCTCTATTTTGATTATTTTAGATTTAATTATGAAAAATATTTTGCAGTTCCATAGTTTGAGTTTGGGATCACACGAATTTTCATCCAATTCTCTCAAACTAGGGCTCTGATATCAACTTGTAACATCCCAAAAACTATGATAAAAAATTTCATTTTTATAAAAACATTTCCACTAGAAGCCAAAGATAAACAACCAATGTTTTCAAATCATATCCAAAAAAATCAGAGTATTAAGTTAATCTCTCAAAACATCAAACCATAGGAGGATGTGTACGATCATGCCTCCGTCTTACCCTAAACAATGGCAATTCCTCAAACTACATCCCAAACCCTAAAGTTGACCTAAAGTCAAAATTGGTCAAAGTCAATGGTCAACTCTAACCAGTCGCCACGACATGGATGAGCTTATGTCACGTCGTGAGGATAATAGGACAAAATAGTCGAGATTCTGCCAATCGTCACAATGTGGCGACTAATTCTCCACGTCGTGGAAACTGTCTAGACCAACTTAATCCATTAAGCCCTTAATTGTTTTCTCCATTAATCTAAACTTTCCAGAATGCTTCCATACTCCCCAAAGATCATAAAAGTCATAGCTTTATAGACATGCATATATAATGCATGTATTGAGCTCAACCTAGGTCAAAATGGTGCAAAATGGGGCCAAGATCTCATGCAAGAATTCAAGACTCTATCAAAATTCAGACCCATCACTCTAAACCATAAAGGGACTCTATAGATCCATAAAGTTTGAAGCTTTATGGAACCCAAACATTCCTACTAGACTAATCATGAAGAATAAAACAAGAAAACCTAGAACTAAGAACATGGAGTCATAAAGCTTGGAACTTGAGGACTTACAAGAGTGCATAAAACATGCACAAAGAGGATGAGGAGAGTTGCTTGTTGAAACAAAGTTTCAAGGGACACCTTCTTCTTCTTCAAGACACCACCAAACACCACAAAAGCTCAAAAGTTAACAATGGAGGCTAGGGTTCGCTTTGGAGGCTGAGGGAGAGTGATAGAGGTTGAGGGTGGGCAACCACAACCATTACATCTCTTAAATAGGGGCACAAACCCCGAAATTAGGAATTTTCATTAAACAACTTGCCACGTCGTGACCACTATACTGCCACGCCGTGACACCCACTAATGATGTGCGATTTCCATGGCCTTTGCCACGTCGTCGAGACTACATCCCCAGGTCGTGGCCTTGAAAACAACTCTTTTAACTTAAAGCCTTAATAAAAAAAGGATTACATGAACCAGGTGCTACGAAAAACTTATATAACTAATTTTTATAGAAGTTCAAAAAAAAGTTAGTAAAAGAGGTGGTAGAAATTTATAAAAAAGATTTCGAACAAATCTGTAAAAATTTGAAATTAGTCAAAAACTTTAAAAAAAGATAAAAAAAGAAACTGGATTAAGTTTTTAAATGTCTTGTAAAATTGAAAATATTACGTGTGTGTGTGTGTGTGTGTATATATATATATATATATATATATATATATATATATATATATATATATATATATATATAGGCTCAGGTTATTGTATTCTAACTATCTATTGTGTGGATGTAAGGTTGATTGTGGACCAATCATTTTAGTTATTTTAAGAAAATGATTAATACATATTATTGAATTAAAGATAATCAAAAAATACTATCTAATTTCATTATAAATGTATTTTTGTTAATTAACATAAATTAAAAAAAGAAAATTGCAGATTTTAGAGAATAATTATGTAACGCTATGTTCCGAATCAATTCCTAGTCTGAGGTTGTGGCCCGAAGATCAGTCATCATCAAAATTAGGGCTTTTGAGAAGGTAAGAGCTAGGCCCATTTGGGTACGGGTGATGTATTAGAAGTGATCCGGGTGTTCGGTTCGTGTTTTGAGGCCTATGGGTATTTTGGTAAAGTGGCAGTTTGGGCTTTTGTGGAAAATTGACTTTTGTTCGGAAGGTCATAAGGAAGGTATGCGTTAATAGAAGTGTAGGGATTCTCGTCACCTTTCCGTGGATATAAGGATCGTCGGAATCGGGTTTATAACAAAGAAGTTATGGCCTTCAGAAGTTTCGTGGTTTTCAGGCTTAGCTGAGTACGCGGGGTGTACACAAAGAGTACGCGGGGCGTACTAGTGAAGAAGGTAGTACGCTGGGCGTACCTTGGAGTACGTTGGGCATACTGACCAGGATGGTCGCGAATGTTCTTCGGAGTACGTTGGGCATACTCCAGTCAGATCAAAACCCTATTTTAGGGTCCTGGA